CATCAAACTGTCATTCTGCTAAGGTTTGGTACCTACTAACTGCTACTTACAACTGTAACTCTGGCTTCTGCTATGATATTATCTAGGATTAAATTTTTTAAAAAAGGCTTATGGAAGTTGAAGCATCAGGGTATTAATAAAAATAGAACAACAATAACTTAACACTATTTACCAGGGATATGCTAACTGCCTTACATGTATTTTCCCATTTAATGCTCACATATTCCTATTATCAGTTCTGTTTTCAGATCAGAAAATAGTTTAGCCAAGGTAACTTCAGAGTTCTCAATGTCAACCATGTATTAATTGACAGAGTTCGGACTGGAACTAAGATTCTTCTGAGTTTGCGTCTTGCATTACACACTGTGTTTTAGTGTCTTAATATTAAAGGATATTATTCCCAGGTGATTCATGTTTCCAGTGAAAAGAGGGAATTAATGTGGTGTTGCTGGCTGTGAAGTGACCTTGGGAACAAAAGTCCCCAACTCATTGTCTTGGTCTGTAAGGGGTATCCATGTGAGAAGGTTGGAATGAGCAGAGTGTGTTATGAGGACTGAGAGAAACCTATGTAGTAAGGAAGATGTAAGTTGAATAGCATGAGTGTTCTGAGAGTTGTCTGGATGGTGCTCCACCTCGCCCCTCCCCCTCCAGCACCTCAAGGTAACAGGTTTGTGTAATGTGGATATGGGAAGGTGTGGTCTGGAGCCCAAGTGCGTGAATTTAATGAGATGCTTTATGGTAGTTCTTGAGGGAGTTGTCATGGGGACATTTGGGAGTTATGTCCAGAGCCATGAAATTCCAACATGCACAAAAAACTCAGTCTTGACATTTCAGAGGAAATTTGTGAGGAAGTGATATGTTGAGGTCACTGTCTTGATTTCAAAGGGAATTCCAAGATTGTTGAGTCCCTTTTTAGAACCTTGAGTGATTCCAAGGAAGTCTGGTTTAGAACCCCTGCTACAGAGCCTGCATCAGTATCGGGATAGCTGGTGGTAGATGTTGGCATGGAGGCAAATCCATTTTTATCCAGGATGTTCATCTCTTCTATGCTCTACTAACTTTCCTGGGAAAATGCAATTTTAGAAAACTAATGGCACTGCTCTTCCCCAGACTCCAAGGAACGGCTTTGTCATCATCCGCCTCCACTCAGCCATTAATGGGACATTAATATATTTTGACATAAAGGGACCCAATTGAATTACTTGGCTTTCACTTAGCATCTGTGTATTTTATCTTTCCCACCTTCTAGTTGTCTGTTTTCATGTTATTGGTTGGCCTGTAAAATACCTATGCGAGAAGGTCCAGGAGAATGATGGCACTGTCCAGACCAGACCATTTCTCCTCTGGGGAAGCCCAGCAGCGGGTCAGAGGGCCTAGGGCGGCCCCAGCACGCACCCTAAACTTCTCCCACTACCTGGCAGCAGCAGATGCTACTGCTTATTAGCAGAACCTTATGTTAGGGGAGCAGTTTTCAGAATAATGATTATCCTGATAATAGCTAGTGTCTACTGAGCACTTACAATGTGCCAGGCACTCTTCTGTATTGACTCATTTCATCCTCCCAGTATCTCTGTGAAGTGGATCCTGTTCTTATCTCTACATTACCCAGGAGGAAACTGAAGCACAGGGTTTCCTGATTAACCGGTGGAAGAAGTGTACTTCACGGCTAGGCAATCTGACTCAGAGCCTGAGCTCTTGCACTCTGCTGAGCTGCCTAGTCTTTACGCCAGGATCCAAAAGAATTCGAAGGAGACTTCCATCATGGACCCTGTGATTGCCCTAAAATTTGCGGATGGGCCCCAACACTTGACAGCAGGCCAAACACCAGGTACCCTCATCAGAAGAGTGGGTTTAAGCCAGCTGCTGCTGGTGGGAACATGGGATGCATTGCTGGTCGCCAGGAACAGATGGGCGCTGAGGGCGAGCGAGTGAGTGTATAAGAAGGTGGGATGGGGGAGAGTGACAAGCAGTTACTGAGTCTCCGTTTTCTTGTCTCCTACCTAGCCGATTGCTCTGGAGGTGAAGTGAGATAGTACATGAATTCATTTGGATTCTGGAAAGTTCCATTCAAATGACAGTTCCTGTTGTATGTCCATGGTGTGCCACCTGTAAGGAAGATTGGTGGAGGCTGTGGCTCAGGAGGCAGCAGTGTGTGTCTGGAGTTGGTGGGCACAGTTGCAAAGCTGGGAGGTAGAAGCATGTGGTCAGGGAACGGGCATGGACGGACTGTGAGAAAGGCGGTGCCCACTGGTTAGCTAGTGGGGAGCTCCTGGGAGAAAGACGTACAGTGACTGGTCTGTATTCATTCTCTGAATCCTATTTTCTACTCTACAGCTACTGCTGGAACCAGGTCTTACTCCTGATGTCTCTAGCCCGCTGGAGAATGCTAGAGCTCACTGTCATTAGACCTACTGTCATCTCAAAATGTATTGAAGTAGAGCTCCTTCAACCTCTGTCCTCCCCCCATCTCCCATCAGAGGGTATGGTGGGCCACCACATTCTGTGCTTCCCGCTTCCCTCTTGCCTGATGTACTTGTGGGGAAATATTTCTTAATTACAGTCTTTTCAGGTCACTAGGGTAAACTTGAAAATAAAAGGATCAGAACCCTCTTAATTTCAGGATAAGCATCTTGTACACTGTATGGTCACTGTTAATTGCTTAAATTCTTTCCTATCCTTTCCTACCCACTCACATCTAATACCTAACATTCTTTGCTGTAACTCTTATTTTTACTCTGGTTCTGAGTTATCATTTATTTACATATTGACATAATTTTAAAATCTTTTTCTAAAAATGATGATTCTCGATGTAAAATAATCCTTAAATCCCGTCATGTAGAGATAACTGCTTGGGATAGCTTGCCGAACATTCTCTCTAGACACTTGTGTACATATACAAATGCTGAAATTCCACAGTTTACATGAAGGAGATTATTCCAGATATAATTTTCCATGACTTTTTTTTTTCACTGAACAATGTCGCAATGTTATAGTGGGACTTCCCTCTAAAAAGATGTAGATCTACACACTCATTTGTAATATTTGCCCAGTGTTTTCTTGTTTCAGTGTACCACAGTTTACTTAACTATCCCCCAGTTGATTGCTTATTGATAGGAGTCTGAACACCACATAGAGATCATTTGACTTTGTTAATTCAGGCTCTATGGTTTTGTTGTCAAATCCATGGGATTCTTGGCACCATACAATAAAACAAGCATGAAACCGATGAGTGAGGAGTCTGAGACTCTGCTCCCAGCTCTGCCACTGTGTCCAGCTATGTGACCATAAAATCACTTTACCTTTCTGAACCTCAGCTTCCCTGTCTGTAAATGATGTAAGGATACCCGTGATATTTAAGGTGTATAGTTAACACTAACTCAAAACATGCCTTCAAATCCTATTTCCCATCACAGCTTATGCCCATTTTATTTATCAATGCCTAGTCCATGTCCAGTACAATGCCCAACACAAAGTGGGCACCCCACAGACACACTTTGAATGGACTAGTCTATTGATTTGTCTTCTCAAAACTTTCCCTCAGAATTATCCATCTTGTGTTTCATATTGGCTTAGTTTTTAACCCAGTGAACCTCGGACATTTTTATTTGTCCACCATCTCTCTTTAGAATTCATGCACTTGTATCTAAATATCTTTGTGTGGGAGGAGGAAGAGAGCTATGTATGGGCGTGCACATATGTATCCATAGTTGGATCTGTATGTTGTTTTGGGGGTATTAGAGTGGGAGTCTATATGGAGGGAGTTAACCATACTTTGCCCTAAGATGAGGTGTTAGGCAAGAGAATGAGATTAAATTATTTTTCCCTCCTTTCAGAGTTGCAGTGAAATCTCATGCACCCATGTGTTTGAGGTGGGGGTCCTGACAATATCTTACCCCCCGCCCCGCCATCTGTCTTTTTCTTCTTCCTTCTCACTCTTTCTTCTCTTTCTTTCTCTTTTCCCTCTTCCAGTCCTTCCCTCCTTTACTGAAATGAATAGAAGAGTAATGCTATTCTTTCTACTTTGGTCAATAGTGACTTTTATCCAATTAACATGAGAAAGGAGAGGCAATCCTGTTTCTGCTAAAATTATCTGAACCAATGAAATCTAAGTATAAGGTAATACTGAAGGACAAGTGGGGATTGTGTTATATTGATACCTTGAAGAAATGCATTGATCCATAGTGGTGATGATGAAAATTGTTTCACTCAACTAATGCTGATGATTAGACTATTTTGAAAATATTTTGTACAATCCATGAACATTCCGTGAGTGAACAGGATGCTTCAGAAAGCTTGGTGCCACCCTCTTTTAATTGTTTGACATGTATCCTGAACCAGTTTGGATTGAGTTCTTTTAAAATGAATTACAACTTCATTCCCTTTCTAAAGAAAGTACATCATGCATATTTTAAATTTTTTTCATCATTTTGAGGCCCTCAAAATCACCGTCACAGGCGTCATAAGCTTTGAGAGGTGCTCTCAGACTGTTGGGATACGTAGAGGTATTAAAACTGTGCTTTTTCAGTTCTTGGTCTGCTTTTTAGAAGGTTTTTTTGTTTGTTTGTTTGTTTGTTTTTGTCTCTTCTGAGGGTCAAACTGCTGTATTTGGCTGATAGGGGCATATTTTCCTAGAGCAGTTTTTTACAGCTCTCCGCCATGTCTCACTGTTTCAGATTAACTGTGTCTAATTTATTGTGAAGCTAAACACATCATCTTACTAGAACTTTTAATAAGTTAATAGTAAACAGGGTATGCGTAGCTTCCAGAAGCTTTTTTCTGCCCATTTCCACGTTGTTACCTAAATTCCAGAAACTTGAGGTTTCTGGGGATGTATTCTCCAGTTAATGGCCGTATTCTGGTAAAGAACCTACAATTCTGGTTTAAATGAGAACTTTTTCTTCCAAGCATGAAGAGACATTATTGCCGTTAGTCCTTCCAGGTGCATGTGACTCGCAATTCCACTCTCTCATTTGTCTGACTACTCGATTCTTGTTTTGCAGTCCGCAGTCTGTCCCAGACCGCCTGAGGATCCGGGTGAACAAAATCAGTTTACAGGACTATGAAGGATTCCACTATGACAAAGAGAAACTTCGGGAAGCTTGTAAGTTGGAAGTGCCTAGTTGATCTCATGTGATCAGCCTATCTTCAGCGGCTTGATCCTCCTTGGGTTGATGGATAGATTCATCTTGTGTCTGAAAACAATGGTTAGGGAAATGAAGGGAAGCATAGTACCATGTGAACCCCAAGCGATGATTTATGGACTGAAGAAAATGGAACTGGGCAAGGGAAAACAGCAGAAGAAAATTATTATGCTGAAGAGGCCAAGTTAGGATCTCTTGGTTTATTAACCACTTTTGTCTCAGGTTTACCTAGGATGAGAAAGCAGAAAGTTGGTGGATGTCATAAGGTTTCATAATGTCTAGAAAACTCTCGAGACAGCACAAGTCTCTTCCTGGAGTCTACGTTACCAAATACTGTCCTCATTCTTCCTGAAGGTGTGACAAAGTTATCCGCAAAAACATGTCCAACACATCTAGCTATTATGTGATTGCATAAATATCAGAGGCCCGCAGAATACTCACTGTCATGATAAAGTGATTCACAGCTGATGAGGTGACATTGTTCCTGAAATCTTAAATTGACTCCACATATGAATACTTCTCAATGTTCATATTTTCCATATGCTTCTTTAAATGCATAGCTGATTTTTAGTTCATTTTATCTATCATTCAGTATTTATCGGGCACTTTTTACATTCCATTCACTAAGTTAGATCCCTGTCTATACTGCGATAAATGAGGTAACTGGGTAAAGTAGGCCAGAAGATGTTAAGACTGCAGGTGTGTTAGATATTAGGGTTCTGGGCTCTCTCGTAATTGTGGAGGCCAATAGTCAAATGCAGTAAAGTCAGAGAAAATCAGGACCAGTATCCGAGGGCACAGGCAGGGATGCCAACAGAACAGGAGGAGTTTGATAGAGAACCAGAGGTTTATAAACTTAAGACCACCAACTGGTTCCAATATGGACCTATCTAGTGTTGTGGAAGACACGAACGGCTAAAACTGGCAGGAATTGAGAAGGGGACACATTCCTGGGATAATGACTTCCAAGCTCTGATTCTTGACCTGTGATCTGGAATGGGTTTAGTGGATGGAAATCCTGAAATCCAGGCTCAGTCTCAGGGGTGAGGGCAGGGTTTATCTGGATGTGGCAGTGAGCAAGGGTCCATTCACTGAGCCCAATCACTGAACCGCCCAGAGAATTCTGTGTGAAATTTCCCCTCTCTCAATTCTCTCTGCAGCTTCAGCTTCCTTAGCCCTTTGGGTTCTTTTCCTTAAACATCAGTACCTTCTAGCTTCTCCCCTGCCTTACCCCTATCTGTTCTTCTCTCTCATTTCCTTTGGTGGGAAACTTTGAAGTGGGGAAGGAGCAATTCCCTGAACCTCTACATTTCTCCCTTCTATAAATGACCGATTATATTTTCTAATATAAATGAGATTATAAGTGACAGACTAGCACAAAATCTAATTTAACTCATAACATGATGGACATACATGTTTGCATTGGGACGTGTAGCTACAGTGTGAGTTAAACTGACTTTTATTTTTTTTTTTAAGATTTTTTTATTTATTCATTTGAGAGAGAAAGAGAGAGAGAACGAGCAGGGGGAGAGGTAGGGAGAGGGTCAGAGGGAGAAGCAGACTCCCTGCTGAGCAGGGAACCCGATGTGGGACTCGATCCCGGGACTCCAGGATCATGACCTGAGCCGAAGGCAGTCGCTTAACCAACTGAGCCACCCAGGCGCCCTAAACTGACTTTTAAAGGCTACTTATAAAGAAGAGTGTTTTATATCTTTTCTCATCTCAAACTTATAGACAAATAGCTTATAATTTTTGAAAACTAAGAAAGAATGTATCTCAAGTCAGTTAATATTTTTCAGCATACCTTCGACTCTGAAGAAAGTCAGTTGGGAGTAGGGAAGCATTTGAAATTTGGGGCTGGAATGAGATTTGAGGCTTATTGGTGGATTTCAATTATCTGTTCTATCTTTTCCATGGCATTATCTGTCCACCATTGCCAGAGGTAATTGTGATTTGAGTTTTTACAAGAAGATGACATTTCCTAGCAAGTGCTTTACTCGTCGTATCTTATGTGATAAAACTTCTCTGTAAGGAAACTTCTTATATCAAATTGGGGGAGGGGACTTGGTATAAATATAAATCCAGTAAATTCAGCAGTGTCTTTGGGTCTCAGAAAGACAAAGAAACACTCAAAGAGGGAATCAAGGAGTTAACTCATTCTAAAGATTGAGTCTGAAGGAAGTAATATATTAATTAGAAGTAAAGATGGCCAAGTCAGGCATTCCACATTTAATATATAGTTATGATGCTTCTAAACTGTGGTTGCTCGGGGAAGTTTGTCCTTCAGGGTTATATATTTGATTCTTACCTTTGCTCTCTTGTCTGATTCCAACTTTCAACCAACTACACATTCACAGGCAGGTCTGGCAGAGCTCAAACAGAGTATAAAGACAAGAACCAGTTCAAGTCCATATGTGACATACAATGCCAAAATAGATCTGTTATTTCAGAAGCATTAATTAAATAAAATGCACAGGACACATCTAGATAGAAGGGATTTGAGGACTGCACTCTGACCTGCATCTCAAAGGGAGTGAATCCTCTTAGGCCATCTATTGATTGTCAAACTTACAAACCCTAAACCAGAGCAGTACTGCGTTACTGGGCTTAAAAAAATTAGTTCCCTTTCTGGATGATACACTGAGTGATTCATCCAGGCAGCATGTGGCTGTTTGCCATCACTGTTTAATAGATCTTGCTCATGTGTCTGGATCATTATTCGTATTAGATTACAAGCTCGAATGTTTGTTGTCTAACAAAGCCCCACTTCCGTCCGTAAGGCAGGACTCCTTGGTAATTACAGGATGGCAGCCCTTTTAATTACCTTGCTTATTTTAGCATAGAGAAAGATGACAACACTATTTCAAAGATTTACCATCCCCCTTCCATTTAGCTCCAACTTGCCTGGGGAAATTCCCCCTAAAATAATAGCATGAAGAGGGTTAGTCTTTGCCAGTCCCTTCCTCCAGCGCTTGCCAGTAAATTTCAGATTTACTCAAAATAATTAGGCTCTCATTACTGGCTTTATGAATTATTAACCCTCAGGATAATGGTTATGATGTCCAAGAAGAAAGTCTCTTCAGCTTAAAAAATAGGACATAAAAAGAAATGTTTAAAAAGATCCATAAAGTCAATCCATAATGATAGCAGAAACTCACTCCCATACTCTGAATGAAGTATATAAATGAGTCTTTAATAAAGCACGTAATCATATAGTCTAGGTAGAGGGTGGTTAGTTTTTGAAAATCTGTTATATTTCTAACTCCAAAGGAGTTTCATTGATACAACATGTATTTTTATATCTAGAAAAACTTGATCCTGGCCAAGATTTAACTCTATCCCATGTAAACGGGCTGAAATTGACTTCTGGCATGAGCTTACTCTGCGCTTTTGAATTGCCCTGATAATTCACACAAGCCTAGGCCCTGAAACACAAGCCAAAACCAGTTTGGAACTAATCGAAAATAGGTGTAGCCTATAAAGGTAGGCGAGGACTAACATTTGTTGTACATCAAATATAGTGTTCAACGACACTTTTACAGTTTCTCAGTGTAATGGGAATTATATGGATATTTAGAGGTATATATAATGTATAATATATAATATCTCAGTGTATTATTCTCTGGCAAAGATGAATGATATTAAGAGGTGCCTTTTTGACGTGGTGAAAGAGTCAGAAATGTTTGTGTTTGAATCACAGTTGCAACCTTGACCAAGTAATTCATCTCTCTGATGATCCTACCTCTCATCTCTAAAATGAGACTATCATTGCAGCCTCTTAGACTAAGAGGGTGAAATGTAATCTCGTAGACGAAACCGCCAGGGCCAAGTCTGGCATGCTAGCATGCTCCCCAAAAGCGGGAGCTCGGATTGTGGTGGTTGCTGTTGCTGAAGACACACTATAGGCACACTGGCTGCCCTGCGGTCTGCAGGTCCCGAAGCCAGCCAACTTCCTCCACTCACGGCTCTCACTTCCAAGTACTCCTGCTACCACCTTCCAACTCACGTTCTCACTTTCAAAAGCAGTGTTGAAAACACTGATAAATACCACAGGAAGATTATGGGAAGAGAACATAATTAATCACTTAATTTATATGTATTTTGTGTGCCAGTGCAAGAGATGGCTCTGATGGCAGGATATTTAAAACTGTGAGACGTGTAAACACTGAATGCCCATATTTGGTGATCTGACCACATATCTGCCCGCGGCTTTCTTCAGTCCTAAGACAGCCTCCTATGTGCATCAGCAGGTATTCGGCACTGATTTTTTTTTTTTTTTAACTTCTTATTTTAAGAGCACCTGGGTGGCTCAGCCGGTTAAGTGTCTGCCTCTTGGTTTCTGCTCAGGTCTTGATCTCTGGGTCCCAGGAGGCCTGCGTCAGGCTCCACGCTCTGCTTTCCCTCTCCCTCTGCCCCTCCCCCTACTCGTGCTCTCCTTCTCTCTCTCTGTCTCAAATAAATAAATGAAGAGGTGCCTGGGTGGCTCAGTCAGTTTAGTGACTGTCCTACTCCTGGCTTCAGCTCAGGTCATGATCTTGGGGTTGTGGGATTGAGCCCCAGTGGGGCTCCATACTCAGCATAGAGTCCGCTTCAGATGCTTTTCCCCTCCCCCTCTGCTTCTCCTCCTGTTCATGCTTTCTTTCTCTCTCTTTTTCTCTCTCAAATAAATCAGTAAATAAAACCTTTAAAAATAAAATAAATACATCTTTTTAAAAAACCGTATTGTTGGAATAATTTTAGATTTCTAAAACAGTTACAAAGATACTGAGATTTCCCGTATACCCTTCACCCAGTTTTCCCTATTGTTGAACATTTTATATTCCCGTGCTAACTTTTTCAAAGAAACAGATAGTGCTTCATTACTATTAACTAAACTCTGGACTTTCTATTCCAGATTCCAATCCAGGACATCACATGGCATCGGGTGGGCACGTCTTCCCAGTCTTGTCTGTGGCAGTTTCTGAGACTTTTTTTTTCCCCCCATGACCTTGATGGTCTTAAGAAATACTGGCCAGGTATCCTGTAGAATATCCCCCAATCTGGCTTTGTCTGTTGTTTAACACATAATAAGAGTGGAGTTATAGGTTCTTGAAAAAAAAAAATACTGCAAAGGTGAAGTCTCCTTTTTTATTCCATTATATCAGGGGTAACTTGATATCCACATGACATCCGTGATGATGGTAAACTGATCACTTGGTTAAGGTTGTATTTGCTAGGTTTCTCCACTGTAAAGTTACTAATTTTTTTCCTTTCCCGAT